GCTGCCAAACTACATAAACTTAAAATATCGAAAAATATACAGCGCGCGAATTTTAAATGAGAATTTCCGAAAACTTTTCAGTCTTAATGTATTTAATTGAAATTAATGCTATATAAGTAAATCACATACGATACTGAACTGTTTCTAAACTATTCATGAGAATAAAGACGTATTTCAAATGAGACTAAATGAGACTAAAGTATTGCCTCGTCCAATATCATATTAATAAAGTTACATTTTATTTTATATAATTATGGTAATACACATTATAATTTTTTTATTACTTTAATAAACAAAATAACACTATGTAGTATTTTTACAATCAAAAGAAATGCATATTTATATTTTCGATATAATTAAAAAACTGTAATTACCAAAAAAGATTTAATTTTTTATGTAATTTATTAATTTATAATTTCAGAATAAATTAAGTGATAAAAACCAGATTTACTCAAGAACGGCGGATGTTGTTAACATGCAGGAATTTGTTGATAAAAAAAAAACTGATAAAGCATTAGATCTTAAGGATAATTTTGAGCTCATTAATTTTCAAGAAAACGATCAATATCGTTATCACAACCCATTAACTCGCACAATTTCACAACCACAACCACAACCTGACACAAATATTCTGTCATATAAAGCACAAAACATTAAATCTGCTGTTTCTTCAATAATTGAAAACTTTGATGGAATAAATTTACACCGTAAGCTCGAGAGAACGCAGTCAGAACCATTGCCTCAACAAGTGAATGCTTCCAGGTAAAAAATATATTTTAAAATGAAGTTTTTATTGTAACGTTGTTCCAACTTCGATATCTGTTTAATAAGTCGGTGATAATTCCATTAAAACAAAATAATTTTTTTTTTGAATTTACCAATATTTAAATTAATTCTTCGATATGGAAGTTTTTTTTTTGTTTAGGTAACTGTTTAGCACATTCAAGCAAACAAATTATTTTTAACAAATACAAAGAATAAAGAATTTTTTTGAAAAAAAGCTGGAGATTGTGAACGCGATTTGACAAGAATTTTGGAAATTTTTAGTAGAATAAATAATTTTTTTCACTACCACCACATGCTGATATAGCATCATTTTTCAGATGTCCGGCTTTCAAATTCCAGATGTTTAGCGACGACAACTAGTTTATACTATTTTTACATTGACTGTTCAACCAATGATTACAACAAGTAGACATGCCCGATGACTCTAAGATATATATGTATAAATTTACAACCCGATATCTGCTAAATTTATCCACATATGGAACACGAAAAAAATACTAAGAATACTAAAATACTGAGCTAAATATGTTGTCCAGGAAATAAGAATCCTCTCATAAAAAAACACTTCTTAGAAATAATTTGAGAAGAAATATGAAAACTGCAGGATCATTTGGGATGAAAGAGCAAAATTGACGCCAAGTTTACTCACTGTTTATAAAAAAAGTACATTTTTCAAATGATGTTTGCAACTTTTTTAGCGTAATCCAAAAATTTTTACTTACATTTATAAATGAATTACCACTCATCTACTGTAGAAACGCAAATTCTGTTGTGATCATATTCCAAGATAAGCGAAGACTGGACGCCGTCTTCGGAAAATATTACAGCTTCTGCTTTTCAGATACATGTCATAATTCTTATTGACTATTTGGAAAATGTGTACTACTGACAATATACCCAATACTGTTTGACAATTTGTCTTGAAATGAAGAAGAAACTGCAGCGCGACAGTTCGTTTATCAGTAATTGCAACAGCAAAATTTAACAAGTTATTTTATAAGGTTGTACGTTTCTACCTTATATAAGTTGAAAGTCTACATCGACATCGACTCGATTTGGATATATCAAATTATTATTTACATCTAAATTGGAGAAAATGGATTACTGAACTTTGTAACTATATTTTTTTTAGAGTCGTGTATTATTTTCCAAAATTACAAATTTCAAATTCAATTGCAGCAAATTCAATTCCTTTCATTTATCACTGACTTATCAAACAGGCCTCGTATAACACATTTTTTGTAGGCGTTAAACTTAATCGTAATTTTGTGTTCTCAAGAAACGTACATTTTAAAAAATACTTTGGAAGTAACATATAGAATATACATTTGTAACTAAAAATTTTATGTTTATCGTATTTTTAGGTATAAAACTGAATTATGTCGTCCATTTGAAGAAGCAGGTGAATGTAAATACGGAGAAAAATGTCAATTTGCTCATGGTTATCATGAGTTACGAAATTTACAACGTCACCCAAAATATAAAACAGAATATTGTCGGACATTTCACAGCGTTGGATTTTGCCCATATGGTCCTCGATGTCATTTTGTACATAATGCAGATGAAGTCAGAGCACTACAGCAGCAACAGCAGCAAAAACAACAATTTCAACAATCAAACCAAACAAACTCCTCCAGTTTTAATAACTGCTTCTCATCTAGTTTTACTCAAGAACAGAAATTGGGCACCAACAACTCAGCGGCTGCACTCCCACTAAGTCCACCATTGAGCATGTCAACAGGTTCCGACCGGGAATCACCAACGGGTTCGCTTTCACTAAGTCCTACCAGCTCCATAACTAATTTTCCTTTTAACGAACAAATTAGTTCAACAAATTCAGTGCTTCAAACAACTTTTTCTAATATTAACACGCCGCCGGATAGTCCAAGTGCTCCTATATCACCAGTAAATACTTCGCCAAAATGCTTTGTGAATATTGGTTCATTACAAACTCAAGCAGCAGAATTTCACGTTATGCAAAAACAGAATTTTATTAAACCCGTTACTATTCAAGGAAAACAACTTTTGCAAAAAAGTTCTAGCTCACCTATTGCTATCATCAGAAATGTATGTGGAACTCCAACTGAAGTAAGCTCCATTTCATCGGTGAATGTAACTGATGATGCACGTCTTCCAGTTTTCAATCAATTAAGTGCAACTATTGATAATTTTACAAATATATTGTAGCTCTAAATTTGAACAAATCTCAAATGTATACTTATGGATATTTATATATGTACTATTTACATATACATATGTAAAGTAACTTTGTTGCACATTACATACACATGCTAACGACATGCTATATTATATACATATTATTATATTACAGAAAACTGAATGCGTAAATTATTTAATTATTTTTTATTTATAAAAACATATTTATATATTTTTAGATAATCATTATATTTATTAAATATCTCATCAGTAATAAATGGGAAAAGACGGGATTGTTATTTATAGAAAAATTAAAGTTTATATAATCATTGTTATTATTGCATTTATATATATAATTTATGTTATTCAGAAAAAATTATAACTTAAAAATATTTTTTAAAGTGAACAAATGTAATGAAAGAATAAAATACCTCCCGATGTAGAAGTGAATAGTTTATTTTCGTATTTGATATACATATATATATAAAAAATAAAATAATGTGAAAAGACATCAAACTTTAAAAAGTAATTATGTGCAGTTATAATATAAATATATAACAATGTTACTTTATTTTACAAATAAATATAAGAGATAAATGTATTTATTTACAAATTTGATAAAAAAAAAAGTTGATACGATACGATTAATAATTCTCCAAGTGCCTTACATCAATTAAAAACAAAAACATTTTACTTAGTTTGTAGGATTGATTTACATTTTGAATATTTTTATTTTTAAATTATTTTTATTAAATTGGTTTACAATATTATATAAGAATTTTGTACGTATTTGTCTTCCGTTATTATATAAAACAATAAAGATTTTGAAATTTTGCGCAAAATTATGCTTCCATTTATATATATACAAATAAGTAAATGTATGCTTAGAAGAGTGTTAATAAAAATATTGATTAAACGGGTTCGACTTTTATTGTATAAACTACTGAAAAATACGGTCATATTCTTATAGTGTATATGTATTTTGTTAAATTATATATTCTCAATTTTGTTTCATACATTTTTCTGATAGTATCTTTCGGCGCCGATAAAGGTTCTTATTTATACTTGCAAAAAACTCATTTTCAATTTAATTTTGAAGTCTTCAAATAGACGATAGGTTTTGTTTTTTTTAAAAGTTGTATATTAACGGTGGTTTGGATTGGTAATTCAAAGGTATCAGTTCTAGAAAAGAAGGTCCATCCGAACTGTAAAAACTTTTGCTGAATTTCCCATTTTTATGAAGATTCCATCACATTATTTGACGCGCTTCAAATGATGCATTAATAAAGTGCAATGCTCTGCTTAATTTGCTTACTTACTTACTTAGTTGGCCATTACAGATGTAGGTCGTCCTTGGCCGCGTCGAGTAGCCTCCGCCGGTCAACCCGATTAGTTGCTTTCTGACGCCAGTTGATAGTACCGTGCGCCCCCAAATCGCTGGTCACCTGGTCCTTCCACCGATGATGCGGACGTCCTCTACCGCGTTTTCCACCTGCGGGTACCGAATCAAATACTTTTCTAGCCAGAGCACTTTCTTTCATTCGCACGACATGACCAAGCCAGCGTAGCCGCTGAATTTTTATGCGCTTAACTATGTCAATGTCGCGGAATAGTTCATACAGCTCATCGTTCCATCTAATTCAATACTCGTCGCCAACACGTAAGGGATTATAGATCTTTCAAATAATTTTTCTCTCGAATGCTCCTAACTCCTCATCACTGTTGGTAATTGTCCAAGCTTCTGCACCATACTTGCTGACAGGCGTGATAAGAGATTTGTAGAGCGTGATTTTTGTTTGTCGAGAGAGGGCTTTATTTCTCAATTGCTTACTCAGCCCGTTGAATCTCTAGGCTGACGTCATTTTTGATGTTTAAGCTGGTTTCTAAATAAACAAAGTCTTTCACAACTTTGAACTTATAATTGTGAACAGTGACGTAGGTCCAAAGACGCTCAGGAGATTTGTTTGTTGACAGAAAACACTAAAATCACTTCTGAGGAGTGAAAGGAGACGATTTCCACAGCAATGCTAGAACAAAGTCTTCTGGGAGGGTGAAAGGAGTAGAGACGTTGGGGGGAGGGCCATGGTGCCGGGTGAGATACCTACAGGCGAGTGATAGAAGATACTCGTCAACACTAGTGATCTTGGCGTTGCCATAGTTGATATGGAGAAGTGCTTTCCATTAGGCTTCTGGGAGGGTGAAAGGAGTAGAGACGTTGGGGGAGAGAGGTCATGGAACCGGATGAGATACCTACGGGCGAGTGACAGAAGATACTCGTCAACACTAGTGATCTTGGCATTGACATAGAGAAGTGCTTGCCATTAGGCTTGGGCTTATAGTTAGTGCAATCGCAAAAAAGTTCCCGCTCAAATGGCTAACTAAGAGAGTATGAGAGAAACCGAACTGGTGAATCCGTAACGACACGGATTCGTCGTTTAATTTTTGTTGAGGTATCACTCAGTCGCGGTCCAGGTCGTCGCAATAAATTTATTTATTGAGCAGTTCGAAATCTGATAAACCAAGGAGAGGAAAATTAAAACCGTTTAATTTTTTTTCCAAATTTTATTGAATTAAGAGAGCTTCACAACTAACTTATTACTTATTATGCTACAGAAAATATTGATTATACAAAGTTATACAAAGTTCTACTCAAGATTCTAGCCAACGATATCAAAACATCAGAGGCGTTATACAAAGTTCTTCTCAAGATTCTGGCCAACGATATCAAAACATCAGAGGCGTTATACAAAGTTCTACTCAAGATTCTAGCCAACGATATCAAAACATCAGAGGCGTTATACAAAGTTCTACTCAAGATTCTAGCCAATGATATCAAAACATCAGAGGCGTTATACAAAGCTCTATTCACTACCAAGTTATTTAGCTTATAGTATCAAAATACTATTTGCTTTAAAAGACTTAGCGTTGGAGTAGGCCTCTACTCACTTCGATGTGCCAGCGCTAAGTAATTTTTCATACAGAATTCTCGCCTATTTATATGAAATTATTCTTACTTTATAATTCGTACTCACAACCGCACAAGTGTAATTTCGTGTGCGTAAATAAATAATGCATTTCTTCGCGAGGCAACGGCTCTGCCGTGAGCTTAGCTTGACTTGTGCTGGCTGTGCGTGTGAATGTTTGCTGCTGCGTTTGACACGTTTTCATTTTATGAATGAAATAGTTTTTACGTTTGATGTTTTTGTGACCTTGAATATATAATGTAAATTTTATGCAGATGAAATATTACATTTTATTATAATTCAGAGAATATATTTTTTTAGGTATTATTCTATAAATAACTTATAACTAGTTTAAATATATAAATAAAAATCCATTTTAATATAAGATTATCTTCATTAATTAATTCAATATATGACTTATACTAATCTACGTTTAATAAAATCAATTTCTAATAAAATTTACTTTATAAAGCTTAAGAATTAAGCCTTCAAACCAGACTGTATTAAAGGCCTTTTCAATATCATGACTTAGTGCCACAGTGCGCTGCTTATTAAAAAACCTACGTATATCTCATTTTGGAGATGATGAAGGGCATGAACGGTGGAGGTTTGACTCCTAAAGCCGAACTGAAAAGGGGGAATAATATTATTCCCAGAGGAGAAGGACTTCAGCTTGCTGGCTATGAAAGTCTCATAGAGCTTACTGACAGAGTTGAGAAGAGAAATAGGACGATAGCTGAAGGGGTCAGGGTTTGCCACTTTTGGCAATGGGACAAACTATGTCCTTCCTCCATGGCTGGGGGGACGAACCAGTGTTGTACGCATAGTTGAAGAGCATCGCGCATTTTTTAAAAAAGAATGGTGAGAAACGCCTAATGGCGTAGAAAGACACGCAGTGAGTGCCAGGTGATTTTTTAGGCGTTTTGATCCGAAGCATGTCGATGAGTTTGGAAGGGGTGAGAAACCCTTGGGTGTCTTCAACATTGATGCAGTGAGCGGGGAACTGCGGGAAGAAAGTGACAATGCTTTCTCAGTCGTTTTCATTGACTATTTTATTTAGAACACAAGATTATATAACAAATACAAAACTACTTTTCTAACAGAAAATTAACAATTCAATATGCTTTTTGTTTAGCATTGCCAGATGTGTTGTTTTCTTCAAAAGGGACAATCGAATATTTTTACGGGTTGCTATGTTGGTTGTAATGTTGCCACAGTACCCCCCTTCCAGTATTGTCTATTGTGAAAACTTCACCTGGTTTTTTTTTACCTGCGTGCGTACGTTTTTCGTCACTTCCTTCACATCTACTTCTTTAGTAATGAAAGCAGGTTTGAGCCTTTCTGTTGAAAATGTGGTCTCCTTTCCCTGCATATCAATAACGAAAGTGCGTTCAGTTTGTCTATTGAGTACCTTAAAAGGTCCAGTGTACGGTGGCTCCAACGGGCAACGAACAGAATCAGTCCTAAACAGGACGTGTGAGCAGTTGTAAAGATTTTTCAACACAAATGAAACATTATTCCGGTGATGTGTTGCAGAGATCGATTGCACTAATCGCATGTGTTTGCGAAACTCCTCTAAGAAAATCTGCGGGCTGGTGCATTGTTGGTCGTCCTCAGAAAACTCGTTCGGTGGTCGAATCGGAGAACCATACTGCATCTCAGCAGCTGAAGTTTGCAAATCTTCCTTGAAACACGTTCGTAGGCTTAGCAGGACTGTTGGCAGTAATTCTATCCAAGATTCTGCTTCGTGACATATTAGTGCTGCTTTAAAGGAACGGTGCCAGCGTTCAATCATACCATTTGCTTGTGGGTGGTATGACGTGGTGTGGACGTGTTTTGTTGCTATCATTTTTGTCAAGGCTTTGAAAAATGCCGATTCGAATTGTAAGCCAAGATCCGTTGTTATGGTTTGCGGGCATCTAAATCTCGCCACCCAGTTTAACCAACAGGCAGATACTATGGTGTTTGCAGTAATATCTTTCAAAGGTATGGCTTCAGGCCACCTTGAAAAACGATCAATCATTGTTAAACAATAGCGATACCTTTTATCCATTGGCATCACAATGATGTCGATATGTACATGGTCGAAGTGGTTGTCTGGCATGTCGATTTTAATTGGCCGAAAAGTGTTGTGTCTGTGTTTTTTTGCTCGTTGACAGGGTAAACAATTTCGCGCCCATTCAATTATATCTGTTCGCATGGAGGGCCAGACGTATTTTTGATTTAGCTGATGCAGGGTGGATCTTCAACGGGGTTGTGACATGCCGTAAATTGATGCGAAAATTTTATGCCGCAAATATATTGGCACGTATGGTCGAATTATTCCTATAGACCCATCGCAGAACGAGGAATTATTGTCGTTGAAAACAATTGCTTGTAGTTTTAAAGATGTTTCCCCGTGCAACAGCGTTTTTAAGTCTTGATTGTTTTGTTGTTCCTCTGCAACGGTTGGTAAATTGACAGCAGTTGGCAGCAATACAGCTGAAATACGTGAAAGAGCATTTGCCACAGCATTGTCAGTCGCAGATGGGTGTACAATGGTTGTTGAAAATTGGGAAATATAATCGAGATGGCGGAGCTGCCGTGGTGACACCATCACTGGTTTCTGTTTGAAAGCTTTTATCAGCG